TTGTTGATTAAGATGGGCTTTGGAAAGGGAGACTCCTTAACCTTTGTTGTTGAAGAAGGCGAGGATGGTGATGGTGTCAGAAGTAGAAGTGGGCTCAGCAGGACTGAAGAGGAGGCATCCACAGGTGGGAGAAGGCTGCTAATTGGAGCGGAGAGGTTGCAGAGATCTGATGCAGGAGCTGGTCTGCGGAAGTGGGGGCTAGCCCTAAGACCCCGTGGGAGAAGTGTCCAGGTTAACTGTTTTGTGCTAAGGTGGAAAGGTCTCAGGGTCCTAGGGGAGATGGAAATACTGAAAAACGCCTCTTTAAGATCTAAGACAGTGAGGTACATGAAGGAGGGTGGCATGGTGGGGAAAGGGGGCTCTGGCTTGGGGAGGACTGCCTCATTGATTGTTCTGAGATACTGAACTTGTCTCTAGCACTGTTTTTTTGTCGGAAGGGATTGGAGTATCGTAAGGAGAGTTAGTAGGCTTTAATACATTTGAGGAAAGACGGGCGACTGGGTGGCTCAGTCCTTAGGTGTCTGCCTTCAGCTCCGGTCGTGATCCCAGAGTCCTGGGATCTGAGCCCTGAGGGTTGGGCTCCCTGCTCAGCGGGGAGCCTGCTTCTCCCTCTCCCTGCTTGTGTTCCCTCTCTTGCTGTCTCTGTCAAATAAATAAATTAAATAAATAAATAAATAAATAAAAATCTTTAAAAAAATACATTTGAGAAAAGGAATTTGGAAACGAGGGGCTGCAAGCCTGAGGTTTTAGAGGATATTGGGGTTTGGAAGGGGGGAAAGTAGGCTCCTTGAGGTGTATAATGATGGGGGTGAGGTGAATAGCCTTGATAGGTTGGGAGGTGTCCCGTATGGATGAGGGACCTGGAATCATAACTGGAGAGAATGAAGTGGGAGTGATGTGTAGGTTCAGTAGGGAGTCCCAAGAATTGGGATTGGGTGTGTATGGGGTGCCAAGAAAAGTGAGCCTCTAGTTTGGTCATGATGTCTCGTCCTGGATCGGGGGGGGAGGGGATCTGATCTCCCAGGGCCCATGACAAGAGCTGGGTAGCTGAAGGGTGAGAAAGAACACCATGAACCCCAGCAACAGAGATGGGGGAGGGGGAAGAGGGTCCTGAAAATCCAGAGATATCCTGGGGACTGTCAGTCCTTATCCTGAAGAAGTCCCAAGAGATCCCCTGGGATGGGGCTGACCCTCCCCCCTGTTTGGGATCTGAAGACAGGTTTTGGGAGGTGCCCGCCCCCTACTTTGAGGATGGGGTCATCACTCTTCAGGCAGGGCAGGAGGTTTTGGGTGGCCCTTTTTTTTTTTTTTTTTAATTGGGACACGGTTTGGATCAGTGGCCAGGCTTACTGCAAGTGTAACAAGCTCCTGGAGGGGACTTGTTGAATGTTTGGGTCAAGCCAGCAGGGTGAGACTTTTCTAGAATAGCTCCGGTAAGGGCAGTAGGCAGGAGTTGATAAACCTGAGATCGTTTTTTTTTTTTTTTTAATGTCCCTTTCTCATTTCCTCTTTGATTTCCTCCTCTCTGCTGTTAAAAACCTTGAAAGCTGGGTCTAGTACGTTGGATTGAGGGGTTTGTGGGCTTTATCTAGTTTTGTTTTTCTAATATGTGGGTCCGACTGAGAGATGAAATGCATAGCTTGGTTCAGTTTTCCTGCATGAGAGTTAGGATCAAGGTCGGTGAGTTTTTGAAGAGCCCCAGTGAGGACAAGAGGACAAGAGCAGGATTTTTATCTGATCTCTGGGTGGTCTCCCTATCCCATTCCTAACTGTATAGGTCCCTCCACGATACATCCAGAGGAGAAGGTGAATTACTCAGATTCCTTAGTGAACCTGGCAGGATGCATTGAAAAAGAGCCAAGCTTACATCTTGTAAGGGAAAGATCTGGTGAGCAGAAGGGAAGGTAGACCCGAACCATGCCCTCTGCTCCAGCCACTTTGCCAAGAGGGAATTGGGGGGCCGGGAGGTTGGGAAGGGCGGCCGGAACACGTGTGGGCAGAAGGATCCAGACCTGGAGGCAAGCGCTGAAGGGGACAGGGTGACAAAGGGTCTTGAGGGGAAGGAGAGGGAGTTGGGGAGGAACCAAGGGAGGATCACCTGCGGGTGGGTGGAAAGGCAAAGGCCGGGCAGCAGAGCTGAAGTCTGAGTGGGGAGAACCCAGGAGAGGGAGAGGGGGAGGGGTCTTTGGGGAGAGGAGTATAGGGCAAATAGTGGGAAGCCCAGGATGACCAAGTTCGAAGAAAGCTTTAAAATGATGTTAAGGTGACCGGTGGGCTGGGCGGCAAAGAATTACGCAGAGATTAGAACCCCAAGCAGGACAGAATTTACTCACTCTCCAAGGGAGGAGAGGGGCCAGACATCAAGAGCGATGTCTGTCTGGTGAGATTCTGTAAGGCTGGGCCTTTTAAAGGCTTTTAAGGGTGTGAGAGGGTTGCAGCTGAGCCTGTGGGGGAGGGTGAGCGGGGAGGGGGGATGTCGATGTTTGCTTGGCCCCATAGAGCAGGAGGTGACAAGTTACTGCGGGATGGGGCACTTTCTGGGGCTCATCCGGGATGTGGGTTCCCACTAGAAAAGAACGTGCTTTGTCGTTAGAAAAGAACATGCTTCGTGGTGGTGGTCTGTTTTTTTATTCTTTTTTAAAGGTTTTATTTACTTATTTATCAGAGAGAGAAAGCACAAGGGGGAGCAGCAGGGAGAGGGAGAGGGAGAAGCAGGCTTTCTGCTGAGCAAGAGCCTGGGGCGGGGCGGGCGGGGGGGGGGGGGGGGGCTCGATTCCAGGACCCCACGATCATGACCTGAGCTGAAGGCTGATGCTTCGCCTCACCGACTGAGCCATGCAGGCATCCCGTGGTGGTCTATTTTCTGAGAATGAGGGGGCACCATGACCTGGAAAAGGAGAGAGTCAGGGCCAGGTCAGAAGCCTGTGAGTTTTGTCTGTGAGCTTGGCTGGAGAGGGGCTTGGAATAAAACACTTTCACCTTAGGCGTCCCCTCTGTCTTTAGACATGCTAATTTTTGATTGCTTATTTTATTTTTTTTAAAGATTTTATTTATTTGGGGCACCTGGGTGGCTCAGTTGTTAAGCATCTGCCTTCGGCTCAGGTCATGATCCCAGGATCCCAGGGGCCTGGGATTGAGCCCCATATCGGGCTCCCTGCTCAGCCGGGAGCCTGCTTCTCTCTCTCCAGCTCCCCGTGGTTGTATTCCCTCCCTAACTCTCTGTAATAAATAAATACAATCTTTTTTTTTTTTTTTAAAGATTGTATTTATTTATTTGACAGAGATCACAAGTAGGCAGAGAGGCAGGCAGAGAAAGAGGGGGAAGCAGGCTCCCTGTGGAGCAGAGAGCCCGATGTGGCTCGATCCCAGCACCCTGGGATCATGACCTGAGCCGAAGGCAGAGGCTTTAACCCACTGAGCCACCCAGGCGCCCCTAAATAAACTCTTTTTAAGATTTTAAATTTTAAGATCTTTAAGATCTTTAATTTTAGATCTTTTTAATTAAGATTAGTTTTAATCTTAATTAAAATCTTTAATTTTAAGATCTTAAATTTTTAAATTTCAGATTTTAAATCTTAAAAAGGTTTTATTTATTTGTGAAAGAAAGGGCCTGAGTGGAGGGGGAGGGCAGAAGGAGAGGGACAGGGAGACTCCCTGCTGAGCAGGCAGCCCTCACCCCAGGACTTTGGGATTATGACTTGAGCCAAAGGCAGGCAGATGGTTAACTGCCTGAGGTTTATTTTTTAACTCAGAATATTTGATTTTTTAAAGTAGGCTCTATGCCCTACTCTATGGAGCATGAACTCATGATTCTGAGACCAAGAGTCACATGCTCTACAGACTGAGCCACCCAGGTGCCCCTTGACTGTCTTTTTTACTCAATATAGTCTTCATGCCAAAACGGCCCATCCTTGGCCCCTACAGGGGCATTTCTAGAAAGGAGAGAAGTTTCTACTCAGCCACATGTGGGGGCTTGGGAGGAGAAGCTGAACAGTTTGAATCCATCATATTGGGCAAACCTGTCCCCCATCACCATGGGAACACAGCCTAGGCATGCGCTGGGGAGAGGGAAGGGGCGGGGGGGGGGTGGGTAGGGGCAGCACTGTTTGGGACAGTCTGGCAGCCAAGCTGGGAGTGGGGGTTGAGGATGGTGGGGGAAGTGAAGCCCCCTTGGCCCCTCTGACCTCTAGGAGTCGCTCTAAGTTTTAGCAAGCACCTTTAGCCCGAGTGATTGACGCACTAAACCTTTCTATGTGTATTTATGGATCCTGCGTTCTTTCCTGGAAAGAACAGAGCACGTCTGCACTGCCCGGGGGAACCAAGGACCCAGAATCCCATGCACGAGCTGTGAGTGCCGTAATTACGTCCATAGCTGGCACCATCAAGACTGCACATAATCAAGAATTATCTCAGACCACTGCCTCCCTTAACTGATTAACTGCCCTAAATCCCTTGAAAAATCTCTGGGCCAGGCAGAAACCTTGGAGCTGGCTCTTGGAAGAGAGTCCCCCTTCTCCCCAGGTGGCCAGCCTCCTGAACTGCGCTCCTGCTCCTTTCCAGTCAGAACCCAGCTCTGGAATACCTGCCTTTCCAGCTTCAAGGAACTGGTTGGGGGGCCAGGGTAGGGAGGGCGGGGCCGGACTGAGGGAGCTTGCGTGAGAAGCGTTTGCTTCTGGGAATCAGAAGTTTCAATTCCCCGAGCAGCTCAGAAGCCCTGATTAAGTCCAGGAACTTTTCTGGATTTCAGTTTCCCTATTGCTGAGGCGGGGCGGGGAGAAGAGGGGGGCTGTTCCGAGGGGGTGAAATGACTGTCATCCTAAAGCAGCCCCACAAACTCCTCCTGAGCTCTCCCACAAGCTGGGGAAAGTGAGGAAAACCCAGAAGCTCTGCCTGGAGAGCAGAGGTTCTCACAGAAGTGAACCTGCTTCCCCCAACCATGGCAGACTTGGTAATGTCTGTGGTATTTTTTTATTGTCACAATGTCGGGGGGGGGGGCGGTAGGGGTACAGGCATCAGGTGCCCTGAGGCCAGGGAAGTTGCTCAGGATCCTGTAGCACCCGGGGTAGCGTGTCCTCGTCCTCCGTAGAGCCCAATCCCGCTCAGAAGTCAACAGTACCCACAAACACAAAGGTCCCCACCCCAGGGCGACAGCAGGAAGTGGCTTGGACAATAGCTGGGATTCCAGAAGGGCTTGGAGAAATATAACAGAGGAGGAAGGATTGATGGAGGCTGGGAGGATCCCTGAAAGTCGACTTAGTGACTTAGTGTCGATCGAGGCAGCAGCTCTGAATTTTGAAGAAGCAGAGAGACTCTTGGGAGGAGGGGTTCCCGCAGGAGGAATGAGTTTGGGCTGGGGTGGGGAGGAACACCGTGACAAGGGCCTGGCCTGTGTGTGTCTGCAGATCCAGGTTTGAATCCCAGTGGGATGGAATTGGGAACTACGATGGGATGTCCGCCCTGCCACAGCCTGGGTTTCCCCCACCGGACCGGGCATCAGAGGATGCAGTGCGGACATGAGGGGAGATGAGAATATTATGAGTAGAATGCTTGGCACACGGTGAGTGCTGAAGGAGGGTGTAGAGTCCTGTGTGATGAGCCCAGTGAAGAGGGCCAGGGAGGCAGAGGGATAGCTCCTGCCCAAACCCCAAGGGTCCCTGGGAACATTCTGGAGTGGGGAAGCTTGGGTGTGGATGTCAGTCGGTCTGCCCTCAGCTGCAGGGGAGGCCCGGGGTGCACGGAGATGACATAATGGCATTCACTCCAGGAACTTAAGAATATGGTCTCCCCTCCAACCAAGGGGTGTCTACTTTTTGGAGTTCAAAGACTTCAGAAGTCAGTGAGCTTCTGGAAACCAAGGGACCAAGAAATAGGTACTCCCTACCCCATGTGCTGCCCTGCTCTGGGGGCAGGCGAAATCAGGGGCGGGGTGGGGGGAGGAGGCAGCCCTGGGCCAAGCGCTCTGTCGGTCCATCCCAGAGGCGGCTCCTTGTGCTCCCCCCCCCACCACTATCTTGCCCACCTCCTCCTAACCATGCAGCCATGTGGCTCCCTCAGAACTGGTCTGGTCAGGGAAGGCTTGAAGGGGAAAGTCCAGGCTGTGAGCTAAGGAGACATCATAAGGGGGACTTAGGGGGGCCTGGAGGAGGACAGAAGGTGGCCCCGCCCCGTTCCAGGCCAGCTCCCCACTCAGGGAGCCCTCTCTCCCTCCCCTCTCCCTCTCTGTGCCCTGCCAACTATCCTGTTGGCAGTCACCTCCCCAGACCCTGTCCTATCCTAGACTCCCTTCCTCCCTCCCTCCCTCCCAACCCCAGCTTTCTTCTACCCCAGGCCACCCTTCTTACCAGCAGGCCTCAGGCCAGCAGAGCAGTGAGGCCCAGGAACAGGCACATGGGGACCATCAAGGGGCTGAGTGATTTCGAGGAGCTGCTGAAGCTGGTTTCCCCTTCCTTGCTCCAGGCCTCCTTCTCTTTTCTGGGGGAAGATGTGGGGACAACTGAGGCAGCTGCCAGGGCCTGCACCAGGTCTGGTCTTGTCGCCCTTCAGAATCTCCCCTCCTCCCCCACCAAGTCAGTGGGGAAGAGAGTGGGCCGTGGCCTCTCAAGGCTGGTGTGACCAGAGGGACAAGGCTGGGATTCAAACTCTGTGCCCTGAGCAATGGGAAATTTGCAGGCAAAGGGCATTCTGGGTCTTGGGATGGGACAGGTGTGGTGAAAGGGGCACAGTCAGGGGCTGCGGTTCTGACCTTAGTCTTTCCACCTCCTCGAAAGCGCCCTGCAGCTTCTCCTTCAATTTCTCAACCTCTCCTAAAGCGGGAGAGAACCAGGGGGCCTTGTCAGCACAGTGGTACGGTGGCCCAGACACGGCGTGACAAGTGGCCACATTCTCTGCCTGGCTCTACCCGGGGATCCAACACCGCCTTCAGTCCCAACCTCACGCCACCCCACCTTGGAAACCTGGGGTACTACTTTCCCACCCTTCACTGGATTCTGACCACTCCCTGGTGACCCCAACCCTGGGACTTCCTCCCGCCCCCCCTTGTCCCCTGCCCCTTCCTCCCTCCCCCGCCCCTCCTCCTCCGGGGTTCAGTGCTTGACCCACCCCTCCCAATCCCCCTCTGCAGAACCCTGGCTTAATGCTTTCTTACTCTGAAGCTCCTCTATTCTGGTGAGCTGCTCCAGACTCTGGGCCTTCTCCATTTCCAGGGAAGCAGAAAGGTTCACCTGGGATGGGGTTGCGGCGGGGGGTGTGTGTCAGAGACTGGCCTTCTGGCCTGCGGAGTGGAGGTAGCTGCTGCTGGGGGCCCTGGACCTCTCCCCCAGGCCCTGTGGGTCAGAGGGGCCCGGGGTCCAAAGCCTTTTCAGGTTTCCCTCCAACCCTCCCTGCACCCCGGTCTCCCACCTCTAAGAATGGCCACAACCTCCCACCCTCCCAGGGCACCTAAGGATATGATCCCCGAAATAGGGGATTTGAGGCTCCCCACATGGGAATTTGGAGGATCCCTATGCCCAAGCCCTCGAGGAAACGCTCAGACCTCATGGGCTATTGCCCAAGACTTAGATGTCCTTCCCTAAACCCAGAACATGGGGATTTCTGAGCCCAAGTTCGATATCGTGGGGAGTTTCAAGGTCCCCCATATCAGGACCCACGTGAACATTTCAAAGTCTCCCAGGGATGGGGTGGGTGTATTCGGAGCCCCACCCTTCTTTTGGAGGCTTCAGTGAAGTCTCCATCCCAAACCTTAAGATGGGATTTCTGCTGCCCGAGACTGGTGCAGAGAGCAGCTGCTAGCTCTCCCAAAACAGGCCGGAGACCCTTCCCACATTCTAGTGGGGATTTGGGTGCTCTGGGGGCGTTTAAAGCCCTGCCCGATACCAGCACCGCTGAGAAAGTTTAGAGGTCCCCCAAACCCTAGCGGGAAAACCCAACTCCTGATGCGGGGGCCCAGAGGAAGTTTCTCCACCCCCATCTAGACCTGTGGGGGCCACGCAACCCGAGGGCCCCTCCGGGAGTTGCCGGTCTCTTACCACAGTCCGGTTGCAGGTGGCAGCCTCGTCCATCGCCCCCAGTAAGTGTTGCCGGCTTTGGGCTAGCTGGAGTTCCAAGAGGCGGGTGACATTGCGACACTCCTGCTCTGCTAAAAGGCCCTCCTTGCAGGCTTTGCTGTTGGCTTGGACAGCAAAGATGATCAGGGCCACAAACAGAGCCAGCGCCAGCAAGGTCAGCAGGACAATGCTCAGCCTCTTCCAATCCCACCACTCACTTTGCACCATTGACCCTGATTTTTCAGTCACGAGCTCAGGCCAATGATGGTAAAAAGTTGGTCCCATCTAGATCTTCCCCGGGATGTAGGGAGTTTGGGCAGGAGGTAGGACGTTGGGACCTTCTACTGGCTGGGACTACCCCCTTATTAACATAGGGGCTGTCCCGACCAATGACACGTTCCGAGACAATCCTCCGACCTAGAGGCTTGAATGGGGGGGGGCATCTGTAGGCAAAAAACAGTTTGGGCTTTTCAGTTTCGATTTCCCAGGAAACAGGTGGGTTGTTTGTGGTGAATTGAAACCTTGAGCTTTTCCCGTTTGGCAGGGGGCTGGTGCGAGGGGAGCTGGAGCAGCCTGGGTCTGGTCATCTGAAGTTCCCGCCCCTCTCCCGCTTGTAACTGAGGGTGCCAACTGCTGTTACTGAACGTCTCATGCAGGCCGGCCTCATGTTCGTGGGTCCCAGGACCCGAAAAGATTGTGGCTGTCATTGGCTCAGCTCCAAGCTGGGGAAACTGAGGCTGAGAGGGGGTTGGTGGACTGGGAGCGGGGTCTGGCTCGAACCCCAGAGGCCACGTTTTGTGTTTAAGGTTCTCCATGGTGGTCGCTTAGCATCCCTGCACCCACACAGGGTGTCTGAGGAGGGACTGAAGGCTGGAGAAGCTCTGGTTGGGACCCCAGGATGGAGGCTGCAGTTTCCCACTTGGCCACCAGGGCCGCCCTAGCCCTGAAAATACGGTCTCCCAGATCCCGTCCTGGCTCCCACACGGAATAGGCTCTTACTTCTAGAATCTGCCTCTGCCATCCCATGATGAAGTTCTAGAACATAGGTGAGGTTCGGAGGGGTGAGGTCCGGAGCTGATGACCAAGAAAGAATTCTTGAGACATCTCTGGTGCAAAATGGTGGTTTATTAAAGCACAGGGACAGGACCCGTGGGCAGAAAGAGCTGCTGCTCAGGGTAGTGAGGGATGGCAGGTTTAAGTACCCTGCGGTTGGGGGAAGGTGAGGGAAAGGGAGGCTTCAACGGAGTTTTCATATGCTAAAGAGGGCCTACAAGGTGCTGGAACACCGGAGATCTTGAGGCTTGATCAGTGTTGTCTTTTCCCTTTTGGCAAGCCATTAACATCAAGATAGCTGGGAGAGTCCTAAAGAATGTCACATTTGTCCCACCCAGGAGTGGTGGGGGGGAGGGGGAGATTGCAAAGTGTCAGCCTATTGCTGGGGTGAGGGGAAGATGGCGAGGTATCAGCCTTTTGCTTTGTCCTCAGCCAGCTTTCTGCTCCCTCATCACCAGGACCCCAAGCAAACCCTCTGAACCTCAGTTTGTTTGTTTTTTTTTTTTAAAGATTTTATTTATTTATTTGACAGAGATCACAAGTAGGCAGAGAGGCAGGCAGAGAGAGAGGAGGAAGCAGGCTCCCCGCCGAGCAGAGAGCCTGATGCGGGCTCGATCCCAGGACGCTGGAATCATGACCTGAGCCGAAGGCAGAGGCTTTAACCCACTGAGCCACCCAGGCGCCCTGAACCTCAGTTTTCCCATCTGTAAAGTGGGGGCAATAGCAGGCACAGCCTCATGGGGGAGGGGGCTCTGGTGAGGAGTTTCTAGGAAAAGGCTTTGGCATCCAGTAGGCGCTCAACAGATGTGCGGGCCAGGGCAGAACGGAGGAAAGGCAAAAAACACAGAAATACTGTCATGGAGGAAGGAGCACATTTTGAGGAAAGACAATCCAGTCCATTTGGGATACGCTGGACCCAAAGAGCCTAGGGAGTGCCCAGGAAGAGGCCTCAGAAGGGGGCCGAACCCTGGAGGGAGGCCTTAGAGGACTCAGACTGCCCTGGCCTCCTCTGCATGTGGCCAAGGGAGCCAGAGCTTCCTGCTGGACATTAGTCTGACCAGAGGCTCCCACCGGCTGCCTGGGATGGCTGGAAGGCTGTCATGTGCGTGTCCTGTGGCTTCTTCAGCTCCAGCGTCCCCACAGCCCAGACTCCAACCTAGGTTCTGTTGGGTCAGCCATTTCTAGGGTTTGTGGTGAGCTGGGCCGAGGTTGGGCAGGGCCACAGCCGAGGCCCAGGCCTCCCAGAAGGCCTGGAGAAGCATCTCTAGGTGCCCAGTTGGACATGCTCCGCCTAGAAGCCCCCACAAAAGCCACTCAGCCCCCAAAGTACAAGGGATGAGGTATGCCCGTGCTGAAGAGGCCGGGGGTGGGGGAGACTGTGTGTCCCTAGAGAAAGGCCCTCCCTCCCTAGCCAGGACCCCAGGGGCAAACACAAGACTGTCAGCAAAGCTGACTTCGCCCTGTACTGGCTTTCAAACTTTGGGGTCCGTTTGGGCCGGCAGTTGCAGGTCAGAGGCCAAGGCTGTGTACAAATAGCCCTCCCTCTTGTAGGACCTGGATGAGAAGTTTCCTCTAAGCCTCGGTTTCTGGAGCTGTAGAATGGGGATGATAAAAATGAAACTGGTGCACCCCAAAATTCTGCCACTGCAGAGAGTGCCTTACTCAACCTCGCTCTAGTCCCAGTCCTCCAAACAAAAAGTTCTTCTGTAAGATTTTACTTATTTATTTGAGCAAGAGCGAGCACAAGCAAGGAGCAGGGCAGAGGCAAAGGGAGAAGCCGACTCCCTGCTATGCAGAGAGCCCGATGTGGGATTCGATCCCAGAACCCTGGGATCATGACCTGAGCCGAAGGCAGAGGCTTTAACCCACTGAGCCACCTAGGCGCCCCCATCAGTTTTTCTTTTTCTTTCTTTTTTCCCAAATATTTTATTTATTTATTTATTTGACAGAGAGAGAGAGAGATCACAAGTAGGCAGAGAGACAGGCAGAGAGAGAGGGGAAGCAGGATTCCCGCTGAACAGAGAGCCCAATGCGGGCCCCGATCCCAGGACCCCAAGACCACGACCCGAGCTGAAGGCAGAGGCTTTAAGCCACTGAGCCACCCAGGCGCCCCCATCAGTTTTTCTTTTTTCTTTTCTTTTCTTTTTTTTTTTTTTAAAGATTTTATTTATTTATTTGTCAGAGAGAGTGAGCGCAGGCAACAGAGTGGCAGGCAGAGGCAGAGGGAGAAGCAGGCTACCCGCTGAGCAGGGAGCCCGACGCGGGACCGATCCCAGGACGCCGGGATTATGACCCGAGCCGAAGGCAGCCGCCCAACCAACTGAGCCACCCAGGCGTCCCCCTATCAGTTTTTCTTAATGTCCTTTTTATGACATAGGACCCGGCGTTACTTTTGGTTGTCACATCTCCTTAGGCCCTTCTGGGCTGAGACAGTTTCTCGGACTTTCTTGCTATTGATAACCTGGGCAGTGTTGAGGAGAACTGGTCAGGTGTATTGTGGGAAATTGCCCAGCTGTGACTTGTCTGGTGTTTTTTCAAGGTTGGACTGGGGGTGACAGGTTTTGGGGGAGGACCACAGAGGTGAAGCAGCCTGCCTGGCACACCGGGTCCAGGGCACATGCCATCAGCGTGGCGTTTCACGGTGGTGTTGACCTGGATCACCTGGCTGAGATGGGCTCCGTCGGGTGTCTCCACCGGAAGTCACTCTCCTCCCCTGGTCGGTGGGGTCCCCCCCGGAAGGAAGTCAGCGGTCACAGCCACACCTCAGCCTACATCTGGAGCAGGACCGGAAGAGCACACGCTCGGGGCTTTTTCCTTTTGTGGTTCATCTTGAGAGGATAATGTAGGGACACCAAAGAAACTTCTTAAAGTTCAAAATGTCACCCACAATCCTGCTCCCTTCACTCAGGTCTTTTATCTCTTTCCTGTTGTTAAACTACACAAGCATTTCATTGTGTTGACCAAACACCTTGTTGTATAATGTCTTACTCTTGAGATGTTTTCAGTAGTGCATGGCCCTGGATGGGTGACAGAGGTCATCTCCAGCCTTGTAGGAAGGCGCTGGCACGAGGGTTCTCACTCAGAGGCGGTTCTGTCCCCAAGGAGATACCTGGAGACAGCTTCCTTCCTCCCTCCCTCCCTCCCTTCCTTCCTTTCCTTCCTTCCCGCCCATCTCTCTCCCTCCCTCCCTTCCTTCTTCCCTCCCTCCTTTCTTTCTTCCTTTCTTTCTTTCCCTCCCTTCCTTCCTCCCTCCTTCCCTTCCTTTTTCTTCCTTCTCTCTCTCCTTCTTTCTCCCTCCCTCCCTCCCTTTCTCTCTCTCCCTTCCTTCCTCCCTCTTTCCCTCCCTCCTTCCTCCCTTCCCTTCCCCTTCCTTCCTTCCCTCTCTCCCTCCCTCTTTCCTTCCCTTCCCTCTCCTTCCCTTCTCTTCCTCTTTCCTACTCTCCCCTCCCCTCCCCTCGTCTCCCCTCCCCTCCCCTCCCCTTTCCTCTTTCTCTGTCCACAGGGAATATCTGGAGAGAGCTTCCTTCCTCGATTTCTTCCTTCCATCCTTCCTTCTTCCTTTCCTTTCCCTCCCCTTCCCTTTCTTTTAACAATTTACTTACTTATTTGAGAGAGAGAGCACAAACGAGAGGGGAAGAGGGAATCTCAAGTACCAAGGGACGCAGCAGCAGCCCCAGCCAGTGGGGCAGCTCCCCGTTCTGGAAATGCACAAGATAAGAGAATCTGTTCCGCTGAGCTTATCGATATGGGGGCCAAGTCCCAGCGAAGGGCCAGGGAAATTATCCAGGCAAGTGCAGTGCCCCTATGGGATCCAGACGATGGAGTTTCTCTTCTTGGGCAGGAGGCCGAGAAAATGAGCAGCACCAGCGCACACCCCACCCTCTGAGAGCACCTGCATGGGCCACAAGGTACTCGCTGCCTTATAGAGTGGATTCTTCTAGCCTGCAGGGAGGCTTGGCCCAATGAGGAGGACCCCCTGAGCACGTGGCCCTGGAAATCGATAGAAAAGGTACAGCAAATTCTTCTTTCTAAAGATTTTATTTATTGGAGAGAGAGAGACAGAGAGAGTGAGAGAGAGCAGGAGCAGGAAGGAGAGGGAGAAGCAGGCTCCCCTCTGAGCAGGGGGCCCTGATACGGGGTTTGATCCCAGGACCCTGGGGACATACCCTGAGCCAAAGGCAGATGCTTAACCAACTGAGCTGCCCAGGTGCCCCAAGAATATGGAGAATTGGAGGTTTTTCCTTCTCCAGTACCAGAGAACATGCTGGGCACAGACATCCTACGAGGCCAAAGTGTGCAAACCTCTAATGGTGAATTCTGGAGGCCAGCCATTGACACGAAAGAAGGGTACTGTCAAATGTTATAATTGCCCAAGGGGCCTAAAGAAAGAGATGAGTCAAGCACTGCACCAAGTTGGTATGGGACACCTTGCCTCTGGTGCTTTCAACAGCTCAGTATGGCCAGTAGAGAAAATAGATGGCTCCTGGCGGATGACTGAGACTTGAACAAATTGTGGTCCCCCAACCACGTGGCTGTGCTCAACACTGCCACCATCTCACATACCCTGCCCACGGCCCTAGGAGTGTATCATGCTGAGCAGGACTTGGCAAATGCCTTTTCCAATACACCCCTGGCCACTAGACGCAAGCTCAATTCACCTTCATGTGGGAGGGACCCCAGTGGACCTCTCAACTGCTTCCCAAGGCTACCTGCCAGCCCCACCGTATGTCACTGGATGGATGGTAGCCCAAGACTGGCCCCTGTCCTCCCTCCCCACATCCGTAAAATGGGTCCGTTACACCAAAGACATGATGCCGACATGTAAAGACCTGTCTCTGTTCAGGGACGCTCTGCAGACTTTGCTGGGACATCTGTAGGTGGGAGGATGTGCGGTGAGCCTGCGGCAAACTCAAGACCCAGGCACCGCCATGCAGTTTGAGCCGCTCATGAAGGGAGGGCATACCCCGGTAAGAACTTCTCTGCCGGGGCAGGAGGTTGGTTGAGAGCCTGTCCCATTGACTCACCTCTTCCCTGGTTAGAACTCCCACTTTGACTAAGGCATGTGGACTTGTAGAAGTGGGGTACCCTACCTACCAGCTCATGGCATCTAGAAAGGAGGTGCTGCTAGGCCCCACGGAGGAGCTAGAGCCCCCAAAGATCCCCGCCCCTATTCCTGTGGGGAGCCTTTGTGGCCCACAGGGAGCGAGAGGCACTTTTCTGCTGATGCCTGGCATGCAGAATGTTCTAGTTGGGGTAGCCTACCCACGTGAGCTATCATTGTTAGGCAGTTTCACACTGACACCATCTGGACGGAAAAAGGAACAAACCACAGCCTCCAGTGGGTTCAGCTGAGAGCTGGTTTGGCCTATCACTCAGAAGCCCGGTTAACCCTTTGCACTGATAGTGGGGCTGTTTTAAAAGGATGAACCCCAGGGCTTAGACAAGGAAAGCTGAGAGGTGGGCGATCATGAACAAGCCTTTGTGGGGTCAGGGTGTGTGGGAGGACATCTGCGTTCACCTGTAGGAGACAGAGGCATCCTCATTATCTTCCAGGTGCTGAACCCCCACCCTGGGCTCCCAGAATTCAGAGAGCTGATGCCCCAGCCCACGGAGGAGGCCTGGCCACCATTCTTTCAGCAGATACCACAGACTGGGTACGTAGGAAGAGTGGCCGCTGTGGCACCAGGGTGGGACGGTGTATTGCCAAGGATTGCCCTTGAAATCCAGTGTCTTGGTTAATGGAATACCATGTACTCTATGTTCTAGAACAACACCCCAGGTAACTGCCAAAGGAGTCGTCGGGAGCCATCCACCGGAATTCCCAACCAGTAAGGCATTGCCAAGTTTATTTTGTTGGCCCTTTCCCGCTGATGGTTCTTTTTTTTTTTTTTTTTTTTTTAAAGTTCACTTATTGAATCATCTCCACACCCAGAGTGGGACTTGAACTCACGACCCTGAGATCCAGAGTCACACGCTGTACTGACTGAGCCACCGAGGCGCCCCTGAGCAAGGGCTCTAACTATGGTTTGGTTTGTGAGGTCCATGTATCTGGCCCAACCCAAGCTTTCCCCTGTCACCGAGGTGCAAAGCAGGCTGCCTCCCTTAAGGGATTAGAGACACTGAGTATGATGTACGGAAATCCTCATCAAGTAGACAGATTTGGGTCACGTTTTGAGGGTCATGGTGTGCAAGACCAGGCAGAAGAACAGGGAATGGAGGCTCCATCTCCCCGCTCAGCCATGAGCAGCATGGTTGGGAGAAAGGAAGAACGGACTATTAAAGCGGCAGGTTAAACTGCTAACAGGTAAAGCCAGCTTGGCAGGGTGGACAAAGGGATTGTCGCAGGCTTAAGGCATTGGAATGATCAACCCACCACCCCATCTGCCAGCCTGGGGACCCCTGACAAGGCACCCAATCCTGCAAAGCTGTTGGGAGTCTCCGGAGACAGCAATGGCCCTGATTCTTGCTGGGAACAGCATGCTGTGCTGTTGAGGACACCAAGCCCCATCCCACCAGGGAGAGGTGTTATCTACTGGAACTGCCAACGGGAAGTCCCCCCGCGCTGTGTGAGTTACTTCAGTCTTCAGTCTCCACTGGGATCCTGTTGTCCTGCTATTAAGACCGATCTGTGGAATCCCACTAAATCTGGAATGGACCACACACCCCCAGAAAGAGGGGAGAACACATAGATCCTGAGCCTGTCCTGCCCCTCGTCCTGTCTCTTCACATCTCCCCTGGCCAACAGGTCAGGCCTGGTACGTACAACCCAGCCAGGTTCCTAAAGCGGCAGCCACATTAACAAGACTTCCCTGTACAAGTTTCTACTACATAGCTGTCTTTTTGGCCTTAGACTTCAGCTGCCCCGGGAGTGTCTGGTCATGGGATGGGCACCCAAGGGAACTACCTTTCTACTGAGGACCCACTTGTGTGCCTGGCAAAGGAGTCAATCCACACCTGTGGGGATTCGGGCAGCCGTCCCTCTTTAGCTTGTCAGGATTGCTGTGGTGGGTACCACTCCTCTAGGAAGCGGAGCAGAAGGCACACAAGCAGTTCATTAAGGAAGCATAAGCTAGGACAGGTGCTCCTAATTCAGAGGATATTACCAATACTGATCCAGAAATCTGGCCTATGGCACATCTCTGAATAACACTGGGCATGAAAGGAGGCGCCCAGATGGCTTAGTCACTGGGCGTCTGCTTTCGGCTCAGATCATGATCCCAGGGTCCTAGGATCAAGCCCCGCATCGGGCTCCCTGCTCAGTGGGAAGCCCGCTTCTCCCTCTCACACTCCCCCTGCTTGTGGTCCCTCTCTCGCCATGTCTCTCTCTGTCAAATAAATAAATAAAATCTTAAAAAACAAAACATTGGGGGCGCCTGGGTGGCTCAGTGGGTTAAAGCCTCTGCCTTCGGCTCAGGTCATGATCCCAGTGTCCTGGGATCGAGCCCCACATCAGGCTCTCTGCTCTGCGGGGAGCCTGCTTCCTCCTCTCTCTCTCTCTGCCTGCCTCTCTGCCTACTTGTGATCTCTGTCTGTCAAATAAATAAATAAAATCTTTAAAAAAAAAAAAAAACATTGGGCACTGGGTATTCTTTTTCTTTTGATTGAATAAAACAGGCAGCTCATCCAAAGGGTCCTAAAAATACCACTATCAGAGCCATAGGTGGCTTCACTCCAATTTGGGATGGGTTCATGTGGCTTTCCCTGGATTACAGACAGTAGAGGACGCATGTACCTCAATGTGGGGAACAGAAAAAAACAAAACAAAACACTCTAAATGGAACCAACCCAGGTACACCAGGGATATGGGATGGATGTCTCTGTAACGTAAATCCAAATGGGACCTAATGATGGTGTGACTCAAATCTTTGGCCTGGCTTCCACCTGGGTCGTTGGGCCAGTTCACCCTGGGTTCTCCCAGCAATCTGCTCTGTAGTAACACAAGCTGACCGTCTCCCTCTCCTCGAGGTCAGATGGGCACGTTTTCCACTGGTATGACCACTGGGCCGCCATGTTTGTTCCCTCCATTGGCCTGGAGGAAGTTATAGTGCGCAGAGAGGCCCTTACTAAGTTCACTCTGCAAAGCCTTAAATGATAGCTAACAAAGCCTTTCCTACTAAACCGTGAAATATCTGTAATGAGAAAAGCTGTCTGCCAAATTAGAATGGACTCGGATTTATGACGGCCTTGCATGGAAGCACCTGCCCCTTTATCCAAGTTCATACCTGATGAGTCTGCTAATGTATCATCTTCATTAAAGCACAGGAGGACACAAGTGAATGTCCTGAGAGATTCCCACCCCCGCCCTAAGGGACTTAATAAATGAGCAGTTTGGATCATGGGAGTCCTGGTGGAAAAAAAAATGGTTACTCATTTTGGGAGTCATTACCTCAATTTGTGTTGTTTTTTTTTTTTTAAGATTTTATTTATTTGACAGATCACAAGTAGGCAGAGAGACAGGCAGAGAGAGAGGAGGAAGCAGGCTCCTTGCTGAGCATAGAGTCCGATGTGGGGCTCGAGCCCAGGATCCTGAGATCATGACCTGAGCTGAAGGCAGAGGCTTATCCCACTGAGCCACCCAGGCGCCCCTCAATTTGTGTTTTGTCTTGCATGTACTTAGAATGCTGCTGTGGCATCTGCCTCCAGTGTAGCCAGACAGCCACCAAGCAGGCCACCACCATGCTAACTGAAACCCCCTTCTCTTTTTAGTTCATCTTTTCCAGGACGTTTGTTTCTTTTTCTTTTCTTTTCTTTCTTTTTAAGATTTTATTTATTTGTCAGAAGAGAGAGAGAGAGGGAGAGCACAAGCAGGGGGAGCAGCAGGCAGAGGGAGCAGCCGGCTCTCTGCTGAGCAGGGAGCCCCACCCGCTGGATCCCAGGACGCTGGGATCAGGACCTGAGCTGAAGGCAGACACTTAACCAACTGAGCCACTCAAGCGTCCTGGGGCATCTTATAGCCATTGATATTTGAATGTCCTATACTTTTCACATGTCACTAAGAACCCTTTTGATTCCCTGCCTCCTTCAACCACTGACACATAAAAAAAACGTTTTTTAGGTCACAGGTTGTTTAAAAGCCAGACGGTAGGCCAATCCAGGATATTACAGAAAATGGAAAAATATAGAAGAGTAGACAATACTCTGTTCCCTAATTTTTCGCATTTCCCCCTGTGGGGTATAAAAGCATGTTAGCATATTAAGTACTTTCTATCTCATTGAAAAAAACTGTGAGAAGGATGGAGTAGGCGGCTATTCGACCTGAGCTGGAGGCAAGGGCGGAGACAAATAGGTCACACATTAGCAGCCTGGGGGCTTTCTTTGTGGCTTTGTGGCAGCAGGCTACTCGACCAAGAACCACGGGTGCAGAACCTGTGGTCTCCTCTCCAGTCTGTGCTTCAGGGTGACTCCCTGGGTTCATTATTACATTGTGGCTTTGACCCCCACCTCCTACCCCACTGTGGGGGAAGATGGCCACGACACTTGCGGCAAGACTCAGTAGAGTCAAAAACCCCTTCCGAACCGGTAGGAGGAATCCCTTTGTTGGAAACCTCAGTGGCAGACCACCGTAGCTGTGCTCCTAAACATAAAAGGAGAAGACACCCCTAGCCTCAGGTCAGCTGCGATCCCTGGACCTGCCCGCTCTCCCACTCGAGTGTGCGGTTCTTAACAAACTGCTTTGTGCTTGCTACCTTCCTCTTGGCTGTCTTCACTCCAGCGCGGATCCTCGGGTAAATCTTTCGTGGGGAATCCAAGAACCGAGACCTCCATTCACACAACGCGGTCTCCGCCCGCCCCCGCCCCGTAACATGAACAAGTCTTCAAGTTACACAAGATTCATTGGCTCATGGTGGTCCGTATTTTTTGTTATTTAAAGTAATCGCTGCATAAGCCATGAAAGTTTACTTTAGGAAGACTCTCTAGATCTAGAATTGCTTTTTTTCACATTTCTCCGCTAAAAGCCTGTGCGTGTCTCTGGAAGGGGCTAATGCCGCAAGGGTTTCTGGGGAGCGTAGTTCTGGTTTAGGGTAAGCCGAGACTTCTGGCGCAGAGCGGGGATATTTCTGGCGGAAGTCGCTAGCAGAGAGAAGGAAGCAACGCAATTTTCCGTAAACGTCGCTCACGGGCGCTCCTGCGCGACGCACGGGGACGCGGCTGCACTTTCCCATGCGATTGGCCAGCTGTCTTCCGGGCACGCGCAATCGGCTCTTTTGACCCCGCCTTCCTTACGGTAGTCTGGGATTTGTAGTTCAGACTCTTACCCGAACTCCGCGGCGGTTCGGCCGCTGGGAGTTGCGAAGCCGTACCGGCCTTTGGCTCTTGTCTGGGAGGATGGATCCAGGACCCGGGACCGACACGGCGCCGCTGACTGGCCTGGCCTGGTCGTCGGCCTCGGCGCCTCCCCCGCGGGGATTCAGTGCGGTGAGCTACGTCGGGGGCCCGGGGATTAGTGGGTGCAGAAGCGGCCGCGTCGGGGTAGGAGCCTGATGCTGACTCCGGTCCCCGCCGTAGATCTCTTGCACCGTGGAAGGGACGCCCGCCAGCTTCGGCAAGAGCTTCGCGCAGAAATCTGGCTACTTTCTGTGCCTCAGTTCTTTGGGCAGCCTAGAGGTAAGGGGCGCCGTCCTTCGGCATCTCCCGGGTACGCCCACTCCCCCGTTCTCTTGCGGGGCCCTACGCCAGGCGCGCTGTCCCCGCTGCAGAGTGACTGTCGCTGTGTCCTCCCCTTCCTCCCCCTCAGAATCCGCAGGAGAATGTGGTGGCCGATATCCAGGTCCTGGTGGACAAGAGCCCCCTCCCACCGGGCTTTTCCCCGGTCTGCGACCCCCTGGACTCCAGTGAGGCCCGCGTCCGAGGCTGGGGGTGGGATGGGGGGCCGCGTTCGGGTCCCCGTGGGTAGGACCAGGGAAGGGTGGAGGGACGACAGGTGCTTGTTTTCCGAGCCACGACCGCGCACTGGGTGATGACAGGGCTGGCTGTGGAGTCGAGCCCTGTTCTGGGGCGGGGCCACATGCCCTGCCCTGCGTAAAAATGTGCGGTTGGCACAGCCTCTGACCTAGACCAAGAGTTGTGACCCGTTTCATTACTGTTTCTGCTGCATCTTACACCGTAGCCAAGCCGAACCACGGTCATTACCAAGCCTTTTCCTTTCCAGGCTTTTGCACACGGTTTCCTCTGCCTGGAGCACCCTTCCGTGACTCTTCCCCCTAGCTAATACTTGGTTCTCCCCCAGGTCTTTGGTTACCTCTCCCCACCCCTCTCCTCTGGCTCCTGTAGCAGGGGCTGTCCTCCCAGCCCTGACCCTCTGCTGCTTTCCAACCACCTGGCTCCCCCTGCCTCTCGCTGTGACTTGTCTCGTGTATTTGACTCTCAGGATGTATCTATGGATATTGGAGTTGGCAAAGTTTTTCTGTTCAGGTCGAGATAGTAGATATTTTAGGCTTTCCAGGCCAGGTAGTGCTGTTGCCTCCCTGCCCCCCCCCCCGCCCCCCACAATCCTTTAAAAACATGAAAACCATTCTTAGCTCATCAGCCCTGTAAAAACAGATTTTGGACGTCTTTTGGCTCATGGGCTGGGGTTTGCTGACCCCTGGATTAGAGGACGAAGGAAAAGTGAGGTTTGCAGGCCAGGATGGGCATTCAGTTCTGTCTGATTTCATAGCTGTCCACCCTTGCTGTAGGTGCCCATGGTCACCCCATGAATGCTTCTCCATGTCTCCAGCTCCTAGAGGCTACATGGAGTCCCCTCCTTTGGCTATACCATTCATGATTTAACCGTTGACCTAAAGCTCAGGGAGCTGCTTTAAACAGTGCCCTGGCGAACATCATCCTGGAGCCATCTTTGGACCCCCTTCACTGCTTCTTCCCTCTTCTCACACCCTTGCCACCCCCCCACTCCCAGAGGCCTCTGTGTCCAAGAAGAAACGCATGTGTGTGAAGCTTGTGCCCCTGGGGGCTGCAGACATGGCTGTGTTCGATGTCCGGCTGAGCGGGAAGACCAAGACGGTGCCTGGATACCTGCGAGTAGGGTACGGCCACCCTTAGCCTCTGGCCTCCTTTGCCCTCCAGTTCCCGTATCTGCCCTGCTGATCCTCAGGGACTCTCCTGAGGCTTCCTGTGCCTTCCGTCACTTCTCTGTGCCTCAGTTTCCACAGGTTAAATCCGGGCTAATTGTATCAGTCTTGTAGGGTTCTTGTGAGGGGTGCATTGATGAGTCTGAAGCTCACAGTACATGCTCAGACCCAGCAATATTAATTTGGATGTTTCTCAGGGCTTGGCTAAGACAGAAGGCAAATCCCCCAAAGGTCTGGGGTCATCCTCTTGGGCCAGGACCCCTCCCTACTTCTCTCTCCTTCTAGGGACATGGGGGGCTTTGCCATTTGGTGCAGGAAGGCCAAGGCCCCAAGGCCAGTGCCCAAGCCCCGAGCTCTCAGCCAGGACATGCGGGGCCTCTCCCTGGACCCCCCTGCTCAGCCCAGGTGAGTCCCCAGGCTTGGGGATGGGGTGGCCATGGGGGGAATTATGGCTGACCTGTGCTGTCCTGCCCCCATCAGTAAGGGTGGCTTTCCAGAGCGGACCCTGTCCAGGTTAGGCTCTCGGGCATCTACACTGCGGCGGAGCGACTCTATCTACGAGGCCTCCAACTTCTATGGCATCTCAGGTGAGCGCCGTGCAAGAAACCGAGGCACTGGGGTGGGGTAAGACTGGCTCGAGATGGGCTAGCCAGGAGGGGGAGGGGTCAGGGTTGGAAGCCAGCTTGGGCCTCCCCAGTTTTCTGCAAAGACTGCAGAGAGCCTGGGGCTTAGGAAAGGGCCTCTCTGGCTGGGGGTGGACCACAGGCAGGCCGCACCCTCCTTGTGTCTCAGCCCCTACCCTTACCTGCCTTCCTCAGCCATGGATGGTGTTCCCTTCATCCTGCACCCCCGGTTCGAGGGCAAGAGCTGTGGCCCCCTGGTGAGTCTCTGCTGGGGGGATCCTGGGTCTGTGCCTGCCAGTTGCCTTCCTAAGGGTTCAGAATGCAGGGAGGGAAGGAGGGTCATCTGTGTACCCAGTGGCCCAGCACAGAGGCCTGTGTTCCTGGGTTGGAGGAGGCTGGAAGCCAGAGGGTCATAGTCCCAGAATGGGGAATCAGGCGGGACAACTGGTTGCTGGAGGCAGGAGGCTGTGGCAGGAAGGATAAGGGGATGTTCAGGCAAATACTGGGGGCGGCCCTCCTTGAGGATGAGGGAATGGGGTTCCAGGAGGTTAGGGTCCCTCCCGCAAGACTGACCCATGTCTGCCCACCAGGCCTTCTCTGCCTTTGCTGATCTGACAATCAAGTCGCTGGCGGATATTGAAGAGGAGGTGGGTGTGGGGCCCAGGATGGGGTGCTAGGGGACCCCCACCTTCCTGGTACCCCAGTTTGCCTCAGCCACACCCCATCTCCTGAGAGCTGGAGCTCGCTAAGCCCTTAATTGTCTTCACCCCCTCATCATTCCTCAGGCACCACTATGCCCCCCTCACTCTGATTTCCCTTTCCCCCTGCTCTGCTGCCCCCCAGTATAACTACGGCTTCGTGGTAGAGAAGACGGCAGCCGCACGCCTGCCCCCCAGCGTCTCGTAGCTCTCGGTCAGCCCTGGGACAGAGCCCCCTACCCGCCACCCCGGGACCGGCCGCCACCCTGCCCCACAGCATCTTGGGAACCTTGGCAGGGCAGGGCGTTCTAGACCGTCAGCCCCCCAGGGGAGCCACAGCCCTGGAGAAGGAGCAAGACCGGTCTGCTTGGTGATGGGGTTTCTCGCCCCCTGGGCCCTGCAGGGCAGGTGTGGGGGATGGACGGAAACCAGTGCCTTCAAGTCATTTGTGTCAAAACTCTCTGGTGCCTGGAGGCCACACGGGCGTCTTCCTGGCAATAAACACCACCCTGTGCCCACCGTCTGGAGTTCCGATCCTGGCTGCCGGTCCTCTGTGGCTCACCGTCTTTGCCATGCGCACCCAGCACAAGACAGGGCAGATGCCCACCCAGTAAGCAAAATCGAGGAGAGGCAGCAGCTCCACTGCCACGGCCAGAATATTCCACAGGGGCAGGGAACAGGCTTAGCGAGTGACTGAGCGGGCCTGTAGATCAGAGAAGCCCCGGTCTGCCCCTCCGACACTGCGCGTAGCAGGAGTAACAATTTCAATTACGTTTGGATCATGGGGAGGGGATCAGATGCCCAACACCCGATGTACAGTGTCTCATTTTCTGTTCCCACACCCCGATAGGAAGCCCTAGTTTTGGCATCTTACAGATAGGGAAACTGAGGCCGGGGCAGCTGAGGTCACAGCCGAGATGTTCTTTTTTAAAAGATTTTATTCGAGAGAGCAAGCATGAGCAGGGGCAGGGGCAAAGGGACAAGCAGGCTCCCTTCTGAGCACAGAGCTGGATGCAGGGCTCCAGCCCAGGACCCTGAGCTCCTGACCTGAGCCGAAGGCATATGCTTCACCAACTGAGCCACTCAGACGCGCCCACAGCTGAGATTTGAACCCAGAGCCTACTGTCCTCATCTTCAAGCTCCTCTGTGTATCTTTTTGCTCTGCTCTGCGGTGGATCCGTTCAGTTAATTCTTATTCGCGGTAGTTAACGTTCTGTAACTTTGCAGTGAACACTGAGTTAGGGAATACGGGATTCCACAGCGAATACAGAGGTAGGTTCCTGCAAGCCTTTAGTCACTTTTTTTGTCAAGCAGTCAGTACATGACCTTGTTTGGCGTGTGTTTCAAGACACCTTATTTAATAGATACGGCTGACTGGTTAACATTGAACTTCCAGCGGCCGTGCTCTAACTCAAGCCTAAACAAAGCTCATCTAACACACATTTTCTCCAGGAGGCACATCCCCGCCTTCTTGCATTTGGGGACACTAGACAGCACTAAGCACTGTGCTTGGAGACTTTTTTCTTTCTTTCTTCTTTTTTTTTTTAGATTTTATTTATTTACTTAAGAGAGAGAGCGCGCACCAGTGGGGGAGAGGGGCAGAGGGAGAGGGAGAAGAGGGAGAGGGAGAAGCAGATGCCCTGGGAGCCCAGCTAGGTGCTCTATCCCAGGATCCTGAGACCACGACCCAGGCCAAAGGCAGCCGCTCAATTGACTGAGCCAGCCAGGTGCCCCTGGAGACCTTTTTTTTAAAAAAGATTTTATTTATTTGACAGAGGTCACAAGTAGGCAGAGAGGCAGGCAGAGAGAGGGGGAAGCAGGCTCCGTGCTGAGCAGAGAACCCGATGCGGGGCTCGATCCCAGGACCCCGAGATTATGACCTGAGCCGAAGGCAGAGGCTTAACCCACTGGGCCACCTAAGTGCCCCCAGAAACCTTTTTAAATGGCAAAACTGCCATGCAAAAATGTGGAAAATGTGCCGCTAGATGGACCGTAGAAAGGTCACCTGTGCATAGTCCAAGCTGATGTGAGATGGTGTCCCACTTCAGTGGGGGCCGTGTTCCTCAGTGATTCACATTTCCGGAACCCTGCTCTGTGCTTGTCCCTGAGTGACCACGAAGTGCTACAAGCTTTGGTCTGAAGGTGGCAAATCAATCTCGAGGGCAAATCAATCTCGAGGCCAGCAGAACTCAACAAAGACCGGGATCTGCACATAATGGGGTGGGCCACTTTGTAAATGAATGATCCAGGGCTCACACCATTTTTCTCCCGCACCCGCACCAGCACCCGCATTTCTTCCTTTCCTGCTCTGTCTGCCCTAGGTCCCTGCAGCATGAGAGTGGCCCAGGTTCTGCTGATGTCGGGAACATCCCCGGATCTCTGTGGCTTAGAAAGGCTAAGGCTTCTTTCTCTTTTGTACTGGGTGCCGATGGCGGGGCAGCAACAGGCTGCTGGTCACAGGCTCTGAGACCCGCCCAAAGGAGCTGCCCCTTCTCTGCTGTGACAGCAGGGCCAGACTCAGGAAGCTCTTGCCCTGTCCGTGAGATACCCTGGATTGGAAGTGCCTCATCAGAGCTCTGGTCACAGATCACCGGCCAGAACTCGCCCCACTTGGTCCCCCTCAGGGGTGTACCACCCACTCAGCCGCTTGTGGCCTGTCCTGGTCTGGAGTCAGAGGAAAGCAGAATGGTCCTGTCCTGGACGTCTGAGGGGAGAGACCGCAAGCTGTCCTGGACAGGGGGGCAAGGGGAAACTGAAAATATGCTCCCTCCCCCGTATAGCTCAGCTGCCTCGGGAAAACTAGGCCTTCGGTGCTGAGACATCTCCCCACCTTTCCGCTCTCTGGGCGCCTGTTGGGTCCCGCCCAGTCTGCTCTGGCGCCGGCCGGCCGTGGAATCTGATCTGGCCGAGAAGCAAAGGCTGTTTGTTCTCCCCGGTCACCCTCTTGGCCACCCTGAAACCAGCTCTGGATCACTTTCCAGGGCATCGTGGGTGACCAGGGGCCCCCAGATGAGCCGTCCTGGCCCCAGATCTGACTGGACTTGCTGGTATTGCTAGGCCGATGACTCAGCAAAATCCCAACCCTCTGAGCCCCCTGGGGCCCGAGGACAGCATTGGGAAGTGCTCGAGGGTCACCTTGGAGCCCACTCATGCACCCCCGTCTTGGGCCACATCAACCCTGACTCCTGTGGCTGAGTTTACACCACCTTGGGCTACAGAGGAGGGGGCCAAAACTTTATCCCTCCTGCCTTTGGCTTGCTCCCACCTGAGACAGGTGTCATAGGGCGAGATGAGGTCCCACCTCCCCTGCTCACTTGCTGGTGATGCTGAGCTGTGGCTTAGCTTCTCCATACCTCAGTTTCTTCATCTTTATAATGGGAATCTCAATGGGCCTTACCTCAGTGCAGCTCTGAGGGAGAATGCACTCGTCCCTCCACGGCTCTACTGACTTGCAGAAACACTTCCCGGCTCCAAAAGGTCCGCCCAGCTGAACGGTTTCTGGAGTGCAAAGTCCAAGCAGGTGCAGGAGGGATGCAACCCCAGCGGCCTCCGCTAGTGCAAAACCCATGCTTCCTGTATTCAAATGTTGCTGAGCCCAGCTGTGGCCCCTACTGCTCTCTCCACCCCATCAGAGCACCCACCCGGGCCAGATTCAAACATCCCTTTGCCACCCGCCTTCAAGCCCCCTAAAGCTACAGGGTTCTACCTCATCAGTCATCCTACTGGCTCTTGAACTTGATAGAAGTGTAATGCCCTCCTGAGTTCTCTTCCGAGTCTGGCTAATTCTGTTCAATATTCCATCTCTGACATTTATCTAGTGTGTCGCCTGTATGAGTCATTTCTTTTTTTTCATTGCTGAGTCCACTGCATGGAGGTACCAGTCTGTTCCCCTGCTCCCCTCCTGATAAACGTCTGGATGTCTTCCAGATCTTCCATCTTCCATCTTCCACTGAACAAAACCACCCTGGGTACTCTTGTACATGTCTTTTGAGGAACACGCACCCGCTCCTGTTGTGTAAATGCCCCGAGTGGCGATCGTGGGTGGTAGGTGAGGCCTGTGTTCAGCTCTCAGATTTGTAGCCAAGCAGACTTCCAAAGCTGTTGTACCAGTTTACGCTCCCGCCCCCAGTCAATGAGTTTCAGCGACTCTGTGTCTTCACCAACACTTGGCATCGCAATTGCGTTAATGTTGGCTGTTGGTCTCGCCAGAGTTTGAGTTCCTTAGCTGTTCTGCAGTCTTGGCGGCTTAGAGATCCTAACTTGAAAACAGCTGATTTGTGCTGTATGGAAAACACCCCTTTCTCATCCTGCTCAGACACCTGCCCTTTTTAATTGTCTTCAGGCAGAGCCTGAAGACAATTTACGAGACATTAGGTAGCTTCTGAGATGGTCCCCAAAGACCATGGTGTCCTGGTGTTCAGACCCCTATAATCCCCTCCCTTGGGTATGGGCTGGACCTAGCAACTCACTTCTAACCAACCGAACACAGCAAGGGTGATGGTGTTGCTTCCATGATTAGGTTCTAAGCCAGTGGCTTCCGTCTGGTTGCAGACTCTCTTGCTGGTTTTGCTAAAGCAGACTGGCTTATAAAGAGGCCCATGTATGATGGGACTGAGGGCAGCCTCTTACCAACAGCCAGAAGGGAACCAAGGCCCTCAGTTCCGCAGCTTGTAGGGAATGGATGGCCCCCTGCCAACAACCCCGAAGTGAGCTTGGAAGCAGATCCTACCCCTGTTGAACCCAGACTGCAGTCTGAAGGGGAGGTCTCAGTTGAGCCATGCCCAGATTCCTGACCTCCAGAAACTGTCAGATAATAAATGCGTGTCCTTCTTTTTCTTTTTTTTTTTTTCAAAGATTTTATTTATTCATTGGGCAGACAGAGATCACAAGTAGGCAGAGAGAGAGGAGGAAGCAGGCTCCCCACTGAGCAGAGAGCCCGATGCGGGGCTCGATTCCAGGACCCCGGGATCATGACCTGAGCCAAAGGCAGAGGCTTTAACCCACTGAGCCACCCAGGCTCCCCTAAATGCGTGTCCTTCTGAGCGGCTAACTTTGGAGGATGATTTGCAACAAGAGCTAACAGATACAAACTCAAAGGATATTGAAATTGGAAAGAAAGAGTGCTTGATTTTGAGATAGTATTTTTGTGATTATTGCTCCATTTATCCCAATAAACTCAGTTTTGCATCTTGGGTGGTCTTCTGAGCCTTCTGAACCCTTCTGAGCCTAAGGTCCAATTTGCACTGTACCAGAACCATCCTGAAACGGAGGGTTCATGAGGTCTTTTCAAAACTCTTATTTCACCCAAAATATGTTTTAAAGTGTGTTCATAAAGTGTTTTCTGGGGAGTGTGTGTGTGTGCGCGGAATATGCCCTTTGTCATGCAGAGCAATTTCCTTCAAGGTGGCATCTGGCTTCCCATTCTAAGTGTCACAAGCACAGAGGACCCCAGCTCTGTCCTGCCACTTTCAGTAGATTGCATGTGCAGAACTAAAGAGAGACCAGTTGGATCAAGGGGA